AAAAAATGATTTATGACTTATTCAAATCAGCCAGATACGCAAAATAAGGGCGTGAACAGCAGGTGGGCTAAAAGATTTGCATGTCTTTTTGGGGGCCCAAACTATAGGACCGCGTGGCTAGTTTGTAATAAAAATAGTAACACAAACTTTAAAAATTTAAAGCTGATTGGCAAACCTCAGAATTCATGGCTAAAACGCATAGTAAAGAGAGCCGGTAAAGGCAGTCGAGTAGCTCGAACACTAAACAAGAAGACAGACAACCATCAAAACAGCCTAGGCAACGTATTAAAATAACGATATTTCAATGTCAACCAAAAAGACTTTCCAGTTAAGGACACTCATACAATCTCTCCGAAGGTGCTCAGGATCAGTAAATCCCAAATAAATACTTAATAATAAATTGTCGAAATGGTATTTGAAATAGAAAGTCTGAAATTACGACATTCGTGGGTCAAATAGGTACGTTTTAGAATATAAATGTTACTGTGTATTTTGCTGTATCCTTCCTATAACTTGCGTAGTTATAGAGCCGAATTAAAAAGCTTAAATGCTTATGAGAAAAGTAGAGGGGGACTATGGTCAGGCCAGCTCTGAACCAAAGATCGCAGAGGCCAATACAGGACTAGGGAAAATCACAGGACGAAATGCCGGATTTTTAGAATCACGAAATATCGACAACATTAGCGCGAGGTTAGGGTAGGAAACAACGTTCTACAGTGCTGGAAACTGGTAAACAATAAACGTTTTTTGTCTTTCGTCCCATGACAACTCTGTCGCAGTAGCGTAATATACTACGGAACAGTCTCGCAGTTGCTTTTGCTAGTTCCCTGTACGAAGGAATGATGTGGTACGCCGGTTGGGCGAAAAATGTTTTCTATAAAGAAGTAGTGAATTGTAGGCGGCCCAACGTTGGCAGCTGCCGAGCGCAAGTCCACAGCTTCAACGGGGCTTCCGAAGTGTCAGAGCGCGGGAGTCGTCCAACGGAACTACTCCGAAGGAAAGGACGGATGCGGACGTCGAAAAGTTT